TATGCCAGTTCATTTCGTTGAAATCACTTTCGCGCAGTTAACTTTGGCAAAGGTATAAATTTAAAATTTCTAACATAGCTAGAGGTTAAATATTAGTATAGATTGGATTCTTCAGCTTTGGTTGCTAACCAGTTTAGGGTTAGAACAACTCTAAATTTAAAGCGTCCTGGATATGACGATAAACTACATCCGTGTCCTGGGTATGACGATAAACTACATCCGACAGCAAGGACTCTGATCAAGAAGTTTTGAGTAGCGTGGAAGCACCTCTTAATTGCTGGTGTTCCCAGGTCCATGTTATGGTAGCATCTGTTAGGGTCCCAGCTATGGGCAAATAGTTAACACTCAGACTACATCCGCGTCCTGGGTATGACGATAAACTACGTCCAACTGCAAGGCTTCTGATGATAAGTTTTTGAAAAATAATGTTGCCAGCTGTACGTTTTTGAGAAAATATTATTACCAGCTATACGTTTTTTGAGGAAAAATATTAACAGAAATAGATTTTTGACAAAACAAACATATTACCAGGAAATAAAAAAAGTTGTCCACATAAAATGACCCATTGAAGTTGATATGCCGTAAAACAAAACAAACCAAATCTAAATTTAAAAGTTTTGGGTATGAGGCTAGCAAATCTATCCCATGAAAACCCACTTGCTCTGGAAACTGCAGCACTCTCGTCTAGCGTTCATTGGCTGTGGTCCCCTACTCAGGCAATTAAAGTGTATGGGTCATGAGCGAGAGAGAGAGGGAGAGAGAGAGAGAGAGGAGGAGGAGGATTTCATATAAATTGGGTAATTAGTTTTAAACAATGGGATTTTCTCTCACGTTTATTTTTTCCAGAGGTCGCTATTTTTGTGCACAATCACAAGAAATATGACGCAAAACCACTGCTATAATGCGAATATCTGGTGTTCACTTAGTAATGCATCATCAATACTCTGAAAATTGAAAGAATTTGCACATCATCTCCATGTCTGCGTAAATGGAACGAACAAACGCCTTCTTCAAAATTAGATTCATGTGAAAGAAATCCAAATAAGTGACCTCTGCATTGATAGCCGCTTTTTGATATAAATCCCGGGGATTTACTTTACGAGAAATCCATTGTCATCGTACGAATATGCATACATTAATGTCGCTAAGTTTTAACGAAATAATTCAATTTCTGCGCTTTTAGGATCTTACTTCATTATTTTTTTGTTTGTTTGTTCTAAATCTTTTTTGATAAAGATTCTAACAACACAAATATATTATTGCCTTGTTATTGTCATACGTAAAGCATGTTACTTGAGATAGAAATAAAACGTTTCACAAGGGCTTCCTATCTCGTGGTTGCAGTTGTGGATGGAAACAAATGAAATATGATTTCAGAGGCATACTGTCTCATAAATAAACTTTAACAGACGCAAGAGAAAAGAAAAATTAAGGCGGGGGAAATTATATTCGATTTCGTTCTATAATGACAAATTCCTGCTGTTGCCAACGGGATGGTCATTTCTAAGAAATAGAAAAGAACAAAAAAAAAGAAAGAAATTGGAAAAAAAAAAAGAGAAGAAAACAAAGCAAGAACAAAAAGGAAGAAAAGAGTGACAGAAAAAAACAATAGATCAAGAAAGAGGATTAAGGAGAAAAAGATGTTTAAAACAATCAAACAACGGATTATATCGGAAGAAAGATGAGGGAGAAAAAATAGAAATATTCATAAAGAAATAAAGGGAAAGAAGAAAAATAGCGGAGATTTTCAGAAAGTAAGAAAAAAGTGATAAGGTGATATTCAGAAAATAAGAAAGAAAGTCGAATTGAGAAATAAGGTGATATTTTTTTTTAAAAGTGAAAGAATAGATCAACAATACGAGCAAGAGAAAGTATAGAAATATTAAAAAAGAAAGAAAGAAAGAAACGAAAAAGAAAGAAAAAGACAAAAGCAAGAAATAATATAGATTTCTATAGATACTTATGAATAAAAACGATAGATAGATAGATAGATAGATAGATAGATAGATAGATAGATAAAAAGAAAGAAAGAAAGAAAGAAAGAAAGAAAGAAAGAAAGAAAGAAAGAAACAGAATGGATATGAAAAAAAGAAAAGAAGAAGGAAGGAAAGAAGGAAAAAGAGAAGAAAAAATTTAAGAAATTCTATAAAAAGAAAGCATGAGAAAATCAGACGTCAAGCAAAAGAAAGAAAGAAAGAAAGAAAGAAAGAAAGAAAGAAAGTAAGAAAGAAAGAAAAAAGAAAGAAAGAAAGAAAGAAAGAAAGTAAAGAAAGAAAGAAAGAAAGAAAGAAAAAAGAAAGAAAGAAAGTAAGAAAGAAAGAAAGAAAGAAAGAAAGAAAGAAAAAGAAAGAAAGAAAGAAAGAAAGAAAGAAAAAAGAAAGAAAGAAAGAAAGAAAGAAAGAAAGAAAGAAAGAAAGAAAGAAAGAAAGAAAGAAAAAGTATATCAAATGAGAAAGAAGAGATATGTGTTCATATATTCAAAAAGAATGAAAATGACAAAACTAACTTGAATTTATTTAATTGATCGAACAGCCAGAAATGCTTGCGTTTGAAATTTATAAAATCTTTCTCTTAAAAGAATTTTTCAGGAAAATAGATTTTTCAAGAGCATTAGCTGTTATCACTCTTTCCTATATTGGTTTTGTGGTTTTCCTTCCTAGTGTGAAAGGTCAACATCATGACTGTGTCATTAATTTCCCTTTGAGTTACATATGCTATCCATTTTAGCTGTTGATAATCCTCAGGTGACGTGGTTTCTGTTATTTGGCACAGTTCTTTGTTTGTGATTATGTAGCTCCAGTACACTGAATAGAAAAAGAGTGTGGATGGTTTGCTATTCTGAACAGAGTATGGCGGGTGCTATCTGTGAAGGGCTGATTAGATGGAAGTAAGGAATGTTATCACCGATAGTAATAGTGTGGTAAACAATTAGGTAGAAGCAAATGAGTCCGAGTGTTAATTTCTTTACCTCAATACACGACACGTAGCAGCGACATTTTGTTCCTTGAAAATGTCATGAATCTCCCCTCCCAACTTTAGATTATTCCAAAAGTGTATATTCTGTAACGGTGGCTTTTGTACAGCTTAGCATGTTTCGACCAATATTAAGTCGCATGCTGATTCATCGGACTGGAGTATGCTTTTTGACTGGGTAAATGAGGACAAAGCGAAGAAAAAAACGCTAATTGGCCAGTCGGCCGTCGTGTCGGTATGATAAAAAAGGGCTGAAGCAGTGACGTGTGCGGGAATCAAGAACGGCGGTGTGAAAAAAGAAGAAGTATTTAGTGTTGTACGAGCGATGTCAGAGGAACACGTGCTCATTTACGCTACAAATAGCTATAGAGTATTTAATAAAATACAGAAATACTTACCCCTGGGAAAACCTGATCACAAAAACTTTAGCAAACGATAAACACATGACTATGAGAGACTACAATGATGACTGGCATTTGTGTACAAAACTAATGATGTTAAAATATAACAAACGCTGAAATGAAATGCATTTCAAAATGAAAATACTGACGCACCAAAGATTGAATCAATAACAACGATCAAGAAATGACTGAAACCAAATAAAGAAATAAAAGCGAGGGAATATTAAAGAAACACGGAATAAAACAAGCGAACGATATCGGCAGTTAATGTTGCGATGACTAAAAAATGTATCAGGGTAACAAGAGATCGTCTTTAAAATTATAGAGAAACGAGTCTGTTACTAGCTGATAAGATTATAAAATGAGAATTAATTAAAACCCTGTATAATAAAGAATTAATTATCCATTTACAGTATAGAAAGGAAAATAAATGATAAGATGATTCTTTGTTTTAAATGTATAAAATGTTAACAGGAAAAGAAACACATAACACTGTTGCACTTCATGTTTTCTGGCAAAAATGGCAGTCAAAACTTAGAAATATATCACTGAAGCATATAGCAAGATTTCGGTATACACAAAGAATAGAGATCTGAAATACTATGTCATATCTGTCCTCCTCTATGGCATTGAATTTTAGAAAATTCTCGTAAAGCTGAAAAACAGTTTCAAAGTAACATTTGATTTGGTTCTACAGAAGGATGCTGAGAATACCATGGATAGAATATGTGAGCAAGGAGGAAGTTCTAAAGAAATTCGGAACTATAAAGACACTTTTATTTAAAAGCAGAAAGAGACAGCTGACATTTTTAGGACACGGCGAGTAAAGAGAGTTTGGAGAATTTGCTACTCACAGGATGTTATGGTAATTTACCCACACACGAATCGACTCTCCCAGCTATAAATAGGAGCAGGTACTGCCTTTTGGAGAGGGAAGTTTCCAGGAGAGTGAAGTTTTCCAATCCCTGACAGTCGGAGCGAATATTCTTGGTGTAACACTCTCGTTTGTATATGTTTGTATTACTTTTTCTGTTAATATATTTGTTTAACTCAATTCCTCTATTTATGTCTTTATTTCTGGACCTAACAAGGCCACAACAGAGGATATATGGAAGGCAAGACGGGCAGAGGGAAATAATAATCACTATAACCAATGGGTTTATCCGAATATTTGGCAGGGCGAAATCAAAAAGGTAGGATATAGAGTCAAACCCTGCTTCGAGATAGAAGAGACATAAAGTTCTGTAGAAGTATAATTGTCCATGTCTTGAAGAGACATGACACATAAAAGAACAATATGATGTAGAAACTCGAAGCGATAGAAATGTGGTTCTACAGAAGAATACTAGAAGTACCATTGACAGAGAATGTGAGAAAGCGAGGAAACTCTAAACAAAACAGTAACTAGAATGACAATTACACTTAAAAGCAGAAAAAGAAAGTTGAAATATCCAGGATACATTATAAGGAGAGAGGGCTTGGGAAATTTAACACTCACAGTACATTCTGAAGGCAGGACAGGCAAACAGCGAGTAACCTACCTAATGAATTTGTGGTAAATTGGAAGAAAAGAATACCGATTAAAAATTCCGAGCTATAATCCATTACACCACCCGCACATCCAAGCTTACAGCACCTGGTATTCCCAAGCGGTTACCCATTTCAGTTCTGACCAGACCTGATGTTGTTTAACTTCGGTGATCACATGGGAACTAGTGTTTCAACGTGATGCGGCCGTAAGCCTGAAGCAAAGAGGGATGCTAAACAGTCAAACGGAGCAACATGACACAGGACGTTGTGGAGAGCTATGATCGCTGAAGGGACACGGCATATAACAGGAAATATTAATTATAAATGGGTTCAAATACTTTGTGAAGTTTAAACATATTCAGGGAGTAAGAACATTCTGAAAATATCCAAACTTAGAAAATACGATGAATTTTTAGGAATTTTTAAAGATACTCATCCTAATGAGGAGGGATTACCGCCATATCATGTTGAAACATCGGTTCTTGTACATTCTCTGAAGTTAAGCAACGTCGAGCCTGGTCAATACCTATATGGGTGATCATTTGGGAATATCAGATTCTGTAAGCTTGAATGTGTGGGTGGTGTAATGGATAACAGCTCGGAATTGAAAGTCGGAGAGTGGAGTTCCAATTCCAATCGATTTTGTTATTTTCACTTACGCGCAAACAGCCATGGTAAAGGTATGAACCATGCTCTTATCTTCCAGATATGGGTTAATTAACAGGATTTGTGTCAGTAAATCGTTACTATCTAAAAAAAAATCTTACAATTTCAAATATTTTCTGGCGTTAAATAACATGCAAAGGTTTTTAAACCGTAAAATACAAATCAGCCAATCCGTCATAATTATCTAAAAGCGAAGACTTTCTAAATTAAGGGGAGTAATTTTAGACATATGAGGAATTGGGAAAGCGTTTAAATAATCTTTAGAAGTTATAATTACAATAAATGCTACAGTAAAATTGAAAATGTGTAAAAAACATTGGCGGAAACTGTAATCACAAGGTGAGAGAAGTTATTTTCTTCTTTGAGAATTACTGTTTTGAAGGAGGATGAATATAAAAATACATCATTTACACTATTTACGTATATTTATGTATTTACTTGGTAACCTATAGGTAATTTTGAATTGAACCCTTGATTTAATCTACGAGTTTGCATTATTCTTATTTCATTGCTTATATCTAGGGATATGTCTCATCCCTATTTTTTAGTACTGCTCAGTTATTGCTCTCCCCTATCCTCTGATTCCAAGTACACTTGGGCCAGAATTCCTGTAGGTTGCCAAGCCCCATATATGCATGATGAAAGCCGGGGCTTACAAGAGCCAAAACGTTGTGATACTAAGAACAACAATAATGACAATATTCCGAATGTAAATAATTCAGACAGGAAAAATACATGAATTTCTAGAAAAAAAATGAATTATTTTTCTCTTACTTTTTAAGTCATACTTATGCGATCATGGCGCTCTGCAACTTCCTGTTTCTTGTTGATTTGTGTAATTTCTAAATTTTTACTCTCCCTTTTTTGTCTTTGTTCTAGCAGACATCAACACAAACTCGTTAAGTAGGTTACTTGCAGTATCCTCTTGTCTCTCCTGTTTTAAATATTCCCTGTGATTTTAAATTTCTCCAGTTCCTCTTTCCTCATTATATCTCTTTGGAAATTTCTTCGTAAATCACGAATCCCTAAACCTTCGGATCGTAGGGGCACCACATCTACTGCAGCCTGAGCAGCAGTGGTGTTTCCTGGGTAAGACAGCCTGATGGAACCCAACCCTTTGCATAAATACATTGTTCAATAAGGTTCATATGGAACACAAATGCGTCGCTGGCGGAGCAGTTCAAAATTCGGCCTCGTCTCCTAATTCACCTTCGCACAAATACCAATTAGAAAGGCATGGATTCACTAATTCTCCTTGCAACTATGGTTAAACAACATCGTAGCCTTTGATTGTAATCAGTCTAGGAGAAGGACTACACTGTGTGAAAAAACCGTGAAGAATTTATCATAGTTGTATTTCCAATGAAGTCATGGAAATTCACAGCTAATAAAGAAAAAAAAATCTGTAGAGAGCCATTATCGAGTACGTCATCGTAATTAAAGATATTTATATAAAAAAAACTGATTGATAGGGATAAGGATTTCTCAGCACAGTTAAGAAGAAAAAGGGTTTCGTATAATTTTTAATCAGGCAAGATATCTGCACTTAGAATATTGGCGCAACATAATCATCATAATTCTCTTTCGGCTTTGCACCGTACAAAACTTAATCAATAACAATCTCAATAATAATAAAATTTTGGAAAAAAATTGATTTCTTGTCGGGCAATCTATCAAGTTGTGCTTGTCTGTGAATAGGGCAGCTCTGTCGTAAAATCCAACTGCAATATTCTTCCGGGAAACGGTGTTGCCCAGTGAAATCGAAAACTATCGATCACCGATCCAATTTAATGAAAAGCCTTTACTAAAGCCTACCCCCATCCATTCCCAACGTGTAACCGGACCCTCGTAAAGTATTTTTCTATTGAAACTGCATCTTGTCTTGGCATGTTGTAATGCGTATGGCTACGGGGTCATGTTGATTGCAGAATTAGCATGGGAAAAATTATTATTTTTCTTTTTTTAAAGAAGCCGATTGGTCGACAACATATCACTGGTACTCACTCAACGCATGACTAATGTCATCAAAGTAGAGAGAAAGAATGTTTTTTTTTTCAATAAGCGTGATTGAAAAGTGTTTTGTGATGGGGTAGTTTGAATAGAACAGGGGAAGAAAATGGATTGGAGGTTGTTCTCAGGGATTTTATGACGAGATTAATTATTTTTGTTCATATTTTGAAATGTTTTTGGACGAGTATAAATATATATATATATATATATATATATATATATATATATATATATATATTATGAAATGGACAAAGTCCGACAATTATTTTAAGACATTTTTATGTTTATACATTTTTTTTATAGATACAAATATTTAAGCAAATGCTCTGTTTATAATAAACAGTATTAATCAACATTTACTGGCATGAATGTCCGAGAAATGTTCATAGAAAATATTCTTCCTCCGACAGGAATCGAACCTGTATCCTATACGGAACCTTCATTTGTTTACATTTGGATACGCCATGAGCAGACATGAATGTACGTGAGAGAATCATGGAAGATTGTAGTTAAAGGACGATAAAATCGACTGTGTTTACCGGCCACTCCTTTGTAGCCGAATCGGTTAAGGCACGTCAAGTTAAATGACGATTCCGAATAGGATACGGTTTTGATTCCTGTCGGCGAACGAATATTCTCTACGAAAATTTCTCGGATATTCAGGCCGGTAAATGTTGTTTATTATAAACAGAGAATTTACTTAAATATTTGTATCTATAAAAAGAATTAATAAACATAAAAATGTCTTAAAATATATATAATACATTTGAGTTACGTTTTCCTTTATTTTCGTGTGTTGACATTCAAGTATAAATTCAGTTATCTTCAAATTTATTTTAATATCGAATTAAAACAGTGAGATACTGAGGGTGTGTTGAGATAGAAAATAAGTAAGCAGTTACAAAAATTATGATAATGAAGACAGTAATATTAAAAGCAAGTTTATGATAATGGAAAATAAAGAAAAAAAATAGCAGTTTACGAAAAGACACGAAATGTTATGGGTCATTTAATTGCCAGCATGAATAAAAAATTGTTTTTGAAAATAAAAAAAAATAAAGTAATTCTATTTTCACTTTTTCAAAATTAAAGAAAAATAATCCATATTTGCAGATCAAAAATAAATAAAAAAAAGAAAATTAAATTACGAATTAGAGAAATTATTAATTGAAGCTGATAAAATCTCTTTCTAAATTTATCTGAAATTGAGTCTCGATTCAGCTTTGAGATTTTACTAACTGACAAACTAGGGAAAATACCCACTTCTACGCTTTCGTTTGAAACTGAAATAATAGGATGAGAAGGAACATGCTTGCTCCCATAAACAGTGGCCGACTGGGTCTAAGAATATTGGTTACCAAGAGACAAAGTAGGCCTATATACAGTTAAAATACTATCATTTAATTTTCATGACGAATAAGTAACATTTTCCAAAATACATATGCCAAGAAGGGTACAAGTAAATTTTTTGTGGAAATATATGCATTTCTTATCAGGTAGCCAAAAAAGACCTTGCCGATTTTTTATATCGTGTGGAGTGAAGTGATTCACTGATTCGCAAATGAGTGCATCAAGTTCCGGGTAAGCAGTGCGGGTGGAGGAAATATCATTGGCCAATGCAGGTGCGTTGTGCACACATATCAGTCATAACTCGAGCAGTGGCGAGGAAACCTGTCGGTGTCGATGCAGCTCTTCGGTGTCTGCTTTATGAGTTTACGCTGGACTTGCCCGCAGCCGCAAGTAAACAAATAGATTAAGATTTTGAGGCTTTGAAGCCGGCCATAGAGAAGGACAACACTTTACGAACGCTTCCAGGGTTTTGATAAAAGTGTTAGACTTCACATAGGGAATGTATGCAAGCTGATCAAGTGAATACCCTACACACTATCGGAAGCTAACAAGCAACAATGAGGGACAACCAGAGTCTATTTGCTTTCTCGGTACCGCATCGTACCAATATTTGATCGAGTTCGCATCAGTAATGAAAAGTGGGTCCAATATGACACTCCCAAGCGTGCCAGACATTGGTTACCACCATCAGACTCTGTGCCTCACACCATAAGAGAACTTCTACGACTACGCAAGTGAATGTTCTGTGTCTGGTGGACTAGTCGACAAGTGGTGGTAATGCCATTGGCCAATGCAGGTGCGTTGTGCGCACATATCAGTAATAGGTCGAGCAGTGGTGATGAAAAATGCAGTGCACTATGAGCTGCTACCAACAGACCAAAGCCTCAATGCGAACCTCTACGCGCAGTAATTGAAACATGTGCAACAGGCACAGAAGCAGAAAGAGAAAAGGTGTACTGTTCTTCAATGACTATGCCAGGCCTCATGTACTCGGGTGGCCAGGGATACTATATGTCTACTTGGCTGAGAGATATTTTGCCATCTACCTTAATCCTGTCTTCGATATTACCACCTCTTCTATTCCCTATTACTACCCCTTCTATGGCTTATTACCACCTTTTCTATTCCCGATTATCACCACTTTTTTCCCCTGGACAACCACCTTCGGAGGAAATCCTTCGCA